CACATATTTTTTTTAATCTAAAAATGTTTACAGTAATCGAACATCTAGCACACATATCTGGGCAACTGAACCTGGTGACAGCCGCCTTTAGCCACCCCACCTCCTAAAAATTGTTTTAAAAGACCTTTTATGTACATACCACATTAGTTAAAAAAAATTATTTCCCTATTCTGAACATTTCTATTTTTAAACAGTTAAACAAGGCTTTGCCCTTACGAGTCCCTTCCTTAAACAATGTTTAGGTCCTTTGAGCCCCACCCACTCACCTTTGAGAATGTGTAATGGTGTGAGCTCACTCTCGTCCTAACGTGTTTTCCTTGTCGCGACGCCTTTGATCTAACATACTAAGTAATTCTAACACTAATAATTACCTTACTGCGATGGCATTTATCATACAACAAGAACAAGTATCTCACCTATATCTGAGTAATCGTCCACTAGAATGATCTCCTCCAGCAGTTCTGACTGCGTCATGGCTAGCACGCTGTGAATTGTTCTCAACAGGACGGACCAGGCCTCATTGTAGAAACATATAATAATACTTGCTTTCGGCAGAAACGAAATGTCGTATGGAAATTTGCACCTGTTTACATAAAAGTATATACTATTTTGGGTACTTAATTTATAACTTACCCCTGACGTCACGACAACGTCACGGGAGACATTCCCAATAAATTCTAGGGTGTTCAGGTTGTAATTTCTCGCGATTTATCTACAGCCAAGTTTAGGGTTAGGGTTAGGGTTAGGGTTAGGGTTAGGGTTAGGGTTAGGGTTAGCATTAGAAGACACTTGATGAACACTCAAAAAAAAAAAAAGCACCTCACAACAGCACACTTCCACCCCTTAAAATAATGGACTGTCAGGTCGGCTGTGGATTTCCCACGGGGATTTCGTGTTTGGGGTACGTTATAAATTAAGAACCCTATTTTGTTTTATGCAGATATGGCAGTACATATTTGATTCCCTATCATATAATAATCAGCCAGGAGGGTGTTAAAGGTATAGTTTGCACTAGTCATCCACATGTGGGATGCAGTTTTTTTTTATTTTTTAAAGCCCCACCCTGGCTTTTTCCGGGGGCGCTGAATATAGCCGGAGCATAGGTATGGTCTCACGGCTGAAAGGAGCTTCTAGGACCACTCCACGGGTGATCCTCATCCTCATGTTGTCACTTTGTGTCACTGGGGGTTTATCGATTGTGTAATGTCCTGGTGGGGTACACACACACACACACACACACACACACACACAGAGAGAGAGAGAGAGAGAGAGAGAGAGAGAGAGAGAGAGAGAGAGAGAGGAACAGTACAAAGATGTTACAAGCAGTGTGTTACAATATTAATTATTTTTTTCACCTGAGGAAGATTGCTAAGGGAGGCGAAGTATCTATAGTTATTACATTATGTGTGTATAATAATGATGGTTTCATTAGACGAGTCGAAATTAAATCAACATAATTAGGTGACATAACTGGCATGCAGGGGTACCGAGCCACACGCTGTGAACCTGTGCAATGCTCATACTGGATACTATCATGGTACACCTCTACGCGGTCATTCTGGAAACAGGTTACCAAACTGGAGACTGGTAAACGTTCAGAAAGAGGATCAACGTTTTCTTCCAAGTCTGAGTGCATCTTCCTGAGCAGCAAGGAACCAACATTCTGCACACACAAAATATATGTAAAACGGGTGTAAATACAATACTGAAATCATGGAAAAAAAGCTGAAGTCCAGAACTGGACAAAACAACCTGCATTTTGCATTTTATTTATACAGCCGGTAAAAGTGCAGCTGCAGAAAAAGAAGGAGGAAAATAAGAGGAAGAAGAAAAAAAAAAAGAAATAAAGAAAGCAGAAAAAGAAGAAGACGAAGTGACTAAATTAATAGAAAGAAAAGAAGTGCTTACGTACTCATCCGGTCTGTAATCTGGTGTCTGCCTCTGGGTGGAGATCAGCTTACTAACGAATTCATTAAACTTGAAGTTGTCCCACCCATCATTAAACTTTTTAAGTTCCTCTGGAGGGAGGCTGTCTCGATCTACTTTTACTGCTTTCCCATACTCACCTGAATAAGAAAATCAGTATAGAATTCTTCACACAGTGTAACAATGTCAATATTAATGTACAATTCTAGTACTTATCACGATCCTGCTTGCACCGCCAGAGTTCCTTTCCCTCCCATTTATACTGCAGTTGGTCACACGGCCTGTCCCATGTTGTGCGGGTGTCCTGTATTCTTATTTTTTTTCGATACTCATGAAGAGTCACGCCTTCGGCGCTTCCCTATGCAGTACTTTGCAGCGACCAACAAGAACACAACCTCCCACAAACATTATATATGTCGAGCAAACGCCGAACGAAACCATCTCATAACAGTCCGGTATCATAGGACAGGTCGTGCGACTCGCTGCGGCACGAATGGGAGGGGAAGGAACTCCCGCCGTGCGAGAAGTTAATGAGAAGTTTCACAATTATTTTTTTAAGAGTTTAACATATCTCAGTATTAGTTTGCAATTCTTTACATGGCAGTAAACTTTTTAAAAAAGTTAGTATACAATTCTTCCCATAATACACATGCTATTTAAATCTTAATGTACAAATATTTACACAATACAATTATTTCAATGGTAATATACAACACTTTTCCGAACAGTATACACATTTCACTGTTGACACACAATTCTATTCGCATCAATATTATCATCACCAATCACTACTTCTGTCGTTAAACTCAGTGGGGAGGAACAGTTTGCGATCCATTGCTTGATGGGCAGCAATGGCTTTTGTCATTCCGTGTGGATATAGAAGCTCTTTAACGTCACCAGTCAATGTTCTCCCAGGGCGACGTTTTGCTTTCACTTAAGATCTTCTCATGTGCTTGCATTGGTAGATGTACAGGCTGCATTTTTATTGGATTATTAAATCACTTGATCTTCTGTTTGACAATGCATTTGCACCATTGTGTTCTTCCTACAGTCTGATAATTTTTGTGTGTGTGTGTCTCGGATGGTTAAGTTAGCGGCTTTTGTCAGGTATCTTTTTTTTAAAGGTGTTACTTTTACTTAGGTTAGCCTTTGATAAAATCAAAGCCTGGTACTGGTAACACAGTGTTGTAATGAATTTGTTGTGTTTGATTTGTTTGTTGGCTCTTATACTCATGTTGGGATGTCTTAACAACTGGTAAATAAATGCATCACAGTAATATACGTGTTTTAAAGTTAAGATACAATTACGTCAATTATTCACATGATATTTCAATGTAACTGCAATTCTTTACAGACTATACATACATACTATGATCCATGCAACCTTTTAAAAAAGTAGTGCGAATATTTATGAGGCTTATCTCAATGCGTCTTTAATAAAATCATCTATCGAAAGTTCTTTGATAAAAAGAAAAACGAAAAAAAAGTACCTAAATTTGGAGGATCAAAACGAACGCCTGGTACTATATATTTCTTTGCTGGTTTTGGCTTGTTTTCACTCCAGACGAACTCGATGAAGTCTGCACTACCTGAGGACAATGATTGTTCCGTGACATTTGCAGACTCGTCTTTGTGAGTAGAAAAGTGTTTACTTGTCCGAGGCACTTCTAAAGCATCTTCGTGGTACTAAATAAACATAAAGAAATAAATTAGAAACAGTTAAAAGAAAAACATTAGAATCTACAAAAAACACAGACTATTTGAGTTTTGAAGAAGTAAAGAGGATGATTTAGAATTGAGGTCGGGGACAAATAACCGTTTGATAAAAATGATTAGAAAGAGGATAGTTTACTTACTTCTTAATCGGTTCTCTTCTACTTTGGTATGTAGAAGTTTGCCGGACTTCTCTATCTGCAGTTTTCTCTCTGACTTTGTTCCTTTCCAGTCCTCCGTCTCTCAGGGACTGTCGGATATTGTCTTCCCAGCGGATTCTGGGTCGCCCTGGTTCCCTGGTTCTCTGCCTCCCATGATTGCTGTGGTGGCAGATTTTCTCCCTTTATGCATACATGTCCAAACCATCGTAACTATGACGGATCCCCTCGAGTTTTAAAGGTCTGGGTGTGGCGCGGTGATTTGTCACAGGTGTGAGAGGAAGTTAAGTCCAACATAATGTGTATAAGGATATACTCCGTACGTCACTCGGGCGCCAGTCCTTTACTATCCTGGTTGTACGGAACCTCACGCAAGACCCCTACAGCACGTCCTCGTCGTGCGCCACGGATAATGTCTCAAATGAGCATTAACAGAGCTGTCAGGGGATCTCGGAGTTTGGCGGCCCCCAGAGGTGATGAGTCCTTGTGGCTCTCATCAGCCCGCCCCCAAACGCTAGGGTGAAAAATGTTATCAAAACTCATTAGGAACATGAGTAGGTTCGACAAAAGTACAGCTAAAATCACAACCCTTGGTTAAAAGACTGCTGAGTAAAGAGAACATTGCTCAATGCTCATCCTCGGTTAATTCTCAGTGTCGTCGTCACCGCGCTGAGGTGCACCACAACAGAAACCATACATGGGCTGGCCATCCTTGTGCTTCCTCGGTTGGCCCTCAGTGTCGTCGTCACCGCGCTGAGGTGCATCACAACAGCAACCATCCATAGGCTGGCCAGTCACGTACATCCTCGGTTAACCCTCAGTGTCGTCGTCACCGCGCTGTGGTACACCACAACAGCAACCATCCATCGGATGGCTAAGCCTAAATGTCCGACAAAACTAGATCATACGGATCAAAATCTGACCATCACAATTTGCACTGAAATGCAAAAGGCCGAATGTCCACACCCAAAGACCCCACTCGCCCGAGTGTTGGGACAAAACTGATAACGATATGCCTGATTCAGGATGTGAAATTCTGCCGGGCAAATGTACCTATCTGTGTGATCACAAAAGTCCAAAACCAACGGGCTGCTCCCCGCTGACTTCCAGAGGGCGCGGCCCCTGTCGAGCGGGAGGCCTGATACGGTTGTGAGGTTAAGCAGGCATGTGCAGGACGTGACGATTCCTTGGGTGAGCCCAGAACCAGAGCGCCATGTGCCGGCTCTGCATGCATGGAAGCCTCCTTGGATGGCGGGGAATGCCCATGATCTGCCCCTGCCTTCCCTTGAGGGCCAACTGTTCCACAGGGGGTTGCCCCAAAGGGGTACTCCGGGGGCAATACCTGCGGCGAAGGAGACATGGCGGACACCACACAAATCAGGCAGTCTCGACCCACACAAAACAATGGCCACAGTCACCCTAGAAATAGGCCTGACGTCTTCCTTCGAAGTCGGCGTACAGCTGCCCAAGAGGCAGGGAAATAAAAAAAAACGGTTGTACACGCAAAAATCAGGTCCAGGTGAAGGCCAAAAGTCCAAGCGGACGATTAACCGGGACCTTCCACTGGAATTCACAGCCGGTGTTCGATGAAAAAAAAAAAAAAGGTCTGGGTTTCAAGATCTTGACATATTGTCTAATTGCGAACTTTGCCCCTTCTTGCTGCTTGAACCACCTTTCTTTAGATATCATTTCCGAGGCCTGAAGCTGGCATCTGTGAACTGTTTTCAATGTCCATAACTGACACCGGTAGGTGAGGAATGAGACATAGGTAGAGCAACAAACAGCGACTTTTGCTCTCTTGCTAATTTCTCTTTTGCTAAGAAATCATAGTTTATACCTGGAGAAGTCTCCCAGCAGTTGCTCTGTCATAATGCCTATATTTCGGTCTATTACAACTCCGAGGTAGTTGAACCGGTTGACCTGCTCCAATGGATAATGTCCAATCATGATCTGGTGTTGCTTCTCCTCTCTTGAGATCACCATGGTTTTAGTTTAGGAGATACTGATGGTCATCCCTCTCTTCTCAAGCTCTTCCATTCAAACAAGTAAGTTGGATTGGAGAAATGCCTTTGATTAAGCTATCAGGGCCACATCGTCTGCAAATGCCAGATCTTATATACAGATTGGTCTCAACTGTTATCATACAAATGTAGATGTAAGGTAAGCGAATATTACATGGTCTAAAACTGTAAGTAAAGAACCTTTTCCAAGCTAGGGCGTATCGGATATATGAAGCTAGATAAGTAATGTAATGAGCATAGTCAACATTACACACACACATACACACGCACACACACACACACACACACACACACACACATATATATATATATATATATGTAAAGCGCCGAATTTCTGTGATCTTTGTTTGACTAATGATTTGTGTACCCCTAAAAAAAAAAAGGAATATACAGTTATTGACATTATCTGGAGATCAGTTCACATATTCAGCTCTTGCAGGGGTATTTTGATAGCCTGTAGGGCATACAATAACAAGTTGTGATCAACTAACAACTCACAGGAGGCAGCTGAGTGTCATGCCCGTTTGCAGGCTGCTGTTTTATAAAGTTCCTCTTACTCAATTTACTCAAGTTATTGTATGGACGCTGATTGTTTGCTTTGAATCTGTGCCTTATGTGTATATATATATATATATATATATATATATATATATATATATATATATATATATATATATATATAAATATATATATATATATATATATATATATATATATATATATATATATATATATATATATATATATATATATATATATATATATAAGACACAGGTTCATCATCATCATCAGGTGCCTTGCCGACTTGCGTGGGCGATCATGCCTCTCCATAATCTGCGATCTCCTGCAGCATGTATCAGTTCGTGTGCCGACACACCTCCATGCCATGCAACAAGACTATCAAGCATCTTCTCTCGTTGTCTTCCTCTATCTCTCCTTCCACATATCTTTCCAGTGGTCACAACATGTTCTGATTTCCCTCTTCTCTTAACATGGGCGAGAAATGATGACTGTCTCCTTCTGGTGTCTGTGATAAATTGTCTTCAGGCCCCCGCCTCTTTTCAAACCTCTTGGTTGCTCTTTTTGGCTGTCCAAGGTATTCTAAGCATTCTTGTGTAAAACCACATCTCCGAGGCCTCTAGAAATTGTTTGGCTTGCCTACCGATTCACAGCCATATGTTACAACTGAATGTATGTAGCAAGCAAGAATTCTTTTTCTAGCTCTCAATGACAAGGATATATTCCACAAGATGTTTTTTTTATTTTATAAAATGCAGTTTTTGCCTGTCCTATTCTGTTTCTTATCTCAGTTATGCATCTTCCATCTGATGTTATCCATGTGCCCAGATACTTAAATTTCTGTACTTGTCCTAAAATAACACCATCAACTTTTATTACACACACTTAGGATTAATTCGTATCTTTGATACCACAATTACTTCTGTCTTCCCATTATTCAAACTGATATATATATATATACACACACACACACACACACACACACACACATATATATATATATATATATACATACATACATATATATATATACACACGCACACACACAAATATATATATGTATATATATATATATATATATATATATATATATATATATATATATATATATATATATATATATATATATACAATGTCCGACAATTAAGTAGTAAGAGTGATTTTATTTCGGCTAAGACAAAAGTTCCATTTTTAAAACAAAGCATGGAATCCAAAGAGGCAACTTTATCTATGATCTGGCAAATTTGCATCACCTCCTGGTAAGCAGACAACAAACAAGCCACCATTTGTTTGATCTAGTTAGATGTGCATTGTTACGAATTCAGCAGGGAGCAAAAAGCTAACATTAAATTCTGTATAAAACCTAGTAAAAGCGCACTTGAGACAATTGAATTGATGCGACAAGTTTATGGGGATAATTGATTATCTAGTGCACAGATTTTCAGGTGGTATTCATGATTCAAAAGTTGTGTAGAAATGATTATTAATGCATCCAGACCTGGATACCCAGTTTCTGTTTGTAATGAGAAACTCATTGCAAAAGTCACAGAAAAGATACAAGAAGATCGTTGTTTCACTGTGAGGATGATGGTAGATGGATTTGGTGTTAATAGAGAGACCCATCGTAAAATTTTAGTGCAAGATTTTGGGAAGAAAAGAGTTGCTTGCCGGTTTGTACCGCATTCGTTGTCTGATGACCAAAAACATCAGCGGGTTGAGTATCCACGAGACTTATTCAAAACAAGAATTTTTGGCCAAAAAACAAGTATGTCGGAAGAGCGACTAACTGGGAGCTCCCTTCGAAGTCGAAGTCCAGCTTCTTGAATGGCAACCAATTTCACACAAGCAATGCAGTTAAAAGCATGTACATGCAAAACTCAACACTGGCACTGTTGATGCGCTGACGTTGGCTATAACTTCATTTCACATTTGTCCATTTTGCACCATTAAGCAAAACTGACTGAAAAATTACATATTATGATTCCTCCAGTAAAACTATTTTCAGCTTTCCACTTCAAAGCCTTAGTGATTGCATCAACCTCCACCCTCATGTATGAAGTTGTAGATAAGCAAGCACCATTTTGTTTTGACACTACCTATCGTTTCACACTAAATAAGTGCCCTCAACCAAATTTAAACCCTCATGTACAGAGCCATTGGCTTTAAGTGCATAGCGTGACACTGTGAGTTACAGATGTTATCTGAATGCTTTAACATCGTGCTCTTTATGTTGCAGCTGCAGATTCAGAAAATGGCGAATGGTCTGTTTCCAAATTGCTGGTGGTGCATCAGGCAATATGGCATGTGTAATTCTGATCTGTTGCAACGGCTGCTTCCATCGACGGTGAACTGCAAATCTACAGTCAATTTCAATTTGTCCTGTCACAAGGGACAGCGATATGCATTATCTGTGGTTGTCGTTGCAGAGGATCGGAGCAATTATTGGGGGATCCCTTTGAAACTGCAACCTGACATAGCTCTACACAAATCTCTTCGCTGTCTTCCTAACCTGACGATGACCTTGTTGAGAATGCTGTTTTTGGTATCGAAATATTTCCCACCTTACAAGAATTTGGCAAAAGGCAACTAATTGTGGTCATTCCTTTATTTCAACCGAGAGACTAACTCAGCAGGTGATAGGGGTTGGGGAAAGGAGGGGGGGGGGGGGGATTAAATTGGGTGAGAGGCGTGGGGGGGGTGGGGGGGGGGTGCATATGTTCTTGAAGATCTTCAAAATTGAAGGTGAAACAGAGAGGGATTTTTGATCTGGTTGTAGCTGATACTATTAGCATGTTAATTCTTCGTTGGTTACTGAAGAAGGGGACAGAGTACCCATAGGAATGTTCAGAGTGCAGTGATGTCAATTCCTGATTCATTCATTCATTCATTCATTCATTCATTCATTTCATTCATTCATTCATTCATTCATTCATTCATTCATTCATTCCTTCATTCATTCCTTCATTCATTCATTCATTCATTCATTCATTCATTCATTCATTCATTCATTCATTCCTTCCTTCATTCATTCATTCATTCATTCATTCATTCATTCATTCATTCATTCATTCAAAGTCGAAGTCCATCTGCCCAAAAGCAAAGAATTACCCATCTGCATACAAATAAGCCAGATTTGTGAAACGGATGTGCATAAAAACTCAAGTTCTGGAAGAAGACCAATAATCAGAAGTGGACGAACAACCAGAACTCTGCCGGAGTTTACAGCAAGTGAACGCGAATCAGAAAAAGAAGAAGAAAAAAATGAAATATGTTATAATGATGCTGGACTGGCCTTCCTTTCTAATGTTATTTAAGGAGCACAGCCAAACGCTGGTCTGCTCAGGGCTCACCATTTAATTCATCTGTTTACACAACCTAACCATCTCTCGTAAAGTTTTTTGGCTATGTCGTGTCTCTCTGACTCAGTTCAATACACTATGATACCATCTGCAAATGTCGAGTTTTGCCATGCTTCACTGGTGTATTTTGGCCAGATAATTGTGTGCGTCTGTGTGTGTGTGTTTGCATGTGTGTGTGTTTGCGTTTGTGTTTGCGCGCGCGCGCGTGTGTGTGTGTGTGTGTGTTTCCTAACATTTTGATTTACCATAATTTACTTATTTTCTCTAGAAGCTTTACATCGATGATTGTGTCATTACTTTTTTAATTCCATGTATTTTCACAGGCCCCAGTTAAGGAAATGGCTGAGTTAATGACTGAGTATTTAAATTGCTTTCCGTGTTTGAGCACCATAAAACAGTACTGTGTTAATGATAAAGCTAAACATGGTATGTTTAAAACTGGTTTTAATTTCTGTTGACTATCAGATATGTCTTAGGTGTATAAAACCCCTCTTGCTCTTTGAATTCGTATTTTACTATCCCTGTCAGCTCCTCCATGATTATCTACATTACTGCATACTGTGTTTATCATTTTACATTTATCTAGCAGTAAAAAATCTCTAAAAGAATCTAGATTATTGTTGGCCTTTTTTATTCCAATTAGCTTTGTCGTTCCCCTATGAGTTTAAATTCTACATTATTATACATAAAATACATACACTTTTTACAATACCTGAGGGGCTGGAACTCTTTGTTGATTCTCAAAGACACCCGTATCCTTCGGATGTTCTGTCTGTAGACTAATAGTCCTATTGATAACTGCCACATGTTTAGAAGAATTAATATGATAGGAAATTTGCTTTTGATGATCACCAGTCTCAAAATGCTCCAGTATTGGTTCTTTTAACGTAGAAACCATACCATGCTTGATGTTTTGTTTCTTTGCAAATATAACATTCGTTAACGCCACTTGGCTGGTCGACTCGATGTCTGGAGGTACTAACATCTGCTTCTGATGTGTAAACGTATCACGGAGGTCTCTTTTTGACTGAAATGTCTCTATAGATTGAGTATAGTACATTGCCCAGCAGATAAACAGCATCCATAGCAAGGGCACACATAGGAGCGTATATCTGACACTGGTGTGTCGACATACTTTTCTTTTGATATGACTGATGATACCAGGCCAGGCCATTAATTTTGTTGAGTCAGTAATGTTTGTGAGTCTTGATGGATCACCTGGGTTCTACCTTTCAGGAAACAAAATATGTCATTATTAAACTGCTGCTTTATCGTTTTATAGACACGTGTTATAAATACAAGAAATAACATAAAAACGGTCGAAAAGTGTATCAGTAAGCTTCACAATAAAACAAATGCAAACAAAACGTGAACGTTGCGGCTACGGAGCCTTCATCAGCACATTCACAAATCAAACAATACCTCAAAAATACAGAAAATCACTTAGCTGGTATCTCGAAGCAGTCGGGTCGATGACTTCTCAGCAGACTGCCAAGACACTAACTATATTACAATAATATAAAAGAGACAAACAGATGTATTCTACAACATATTAGAAATGAAATAAGAGGTTTTCGATGAAATAAAGACTTGGCTAAAAATGTTTTATTTACATAAAGGATGCACACATTTACGAAAATGACTTCAATGGGGAAAAAAAAAAAGCAATCACAAAAGAGGAAAAACAAGACAAAAATCACAGAGAGATTAGCTATTTAGGAGATTTTGTAGACTGTGCGTAACATCTTAGTGAAAGATAGGCTGATGTGTTGCATTCTCTTTAACTGTAAAAGTGGGAAATAATCTGATCTCACTTAATTTTAAGTTTTCAATATACTGTTCTAGACTTTCTAGGATTTCTGGTTTTCTTTCCATCTTGTTCATGGTCGGCATCGTGAATTACGTCCCACTAAGCATGTACATTTTTTGTGTGGAATGGCATTAAAAAAAATATTCAAGCTGCAAAGAGTTTTATTTGCTTCTTTGTGTGTAAATCAGTGTTCATTCTATGCCTTCTTTCTGGCTCATGATCTCGTTCTGGATTTAATCTATTCTGACATCTCACGCAGCCTTTCTTATACATATTGTTTTTTCTCTTTTTTTTTTTTGCTTGACAGAGATTATCTCTATCTTCTTCTTCTTCTTCTTCGCGTTCACCAGCTGTACACTCTGGCGGAAAGTTCTGGTTGCTCGTTCACTACTGAACTACAGTCCTGCTCCAGAACCTGAGTGTTGCGTGTGCATCAGTTTTACATATCTCTATCTGATATGTTGTCTGTAATATGACCTTCACTGTCTTTTGTAACTCAGTCAGCCACCTGTAAGGTTTGGCTTGCACCGATGTTTCTGTTAGCCATAAGTTTGCCTTGATATGTTGGGACAGTCTCCGAGGACGTGGTCTGTGGTCTCAGGTGCCAATCCAAAAGCGCACATGGCTGATTCACCAATCTTAGATTGTGTGCACATGTGACTGCGAAGTCGACTGTGTCCTGTTCTAAGGCGTAGAATAATGACTTGCCCTGGTCAGTCCAAAATATAGTAATCATCTTGAACAGGTTCTGGTGGCTTTATGATTGATTTGACAAATCGCTTCTTCTGCGGATAAGAAACCCGTACACAAGGTTGTTCTTAATTTACCCCTTCCTTAGCTAGTTATCTAGGGCTCTCATTTCTGAGAACTCCACACTGGGGTGACATCCATGGATAGTTACCTTACACATCGGATCTATGATTTTTATGGGTAATAATTTCGATATATTTCTTTTTCCAATTTTTGTTTGTTCTGTTTAATTTAGCAACTCTCTATTAATTCCTATTTTTTTCCCAGAACCTATGTTTCATCGATTCTGCTTTTTATATTGACCATCTTGAGAAAACAATTATCATCATCATTATCAATTTTCATTTATGTCACTAGAAGCTCTTTAATGTCATCAGTCCATATTCACCTAGGACGGCCTCTTGCTTTCAATTCATATCATTTCATGTATACCGCCTACGTTGGTAATTATTCTGGCTGCATTCTTACTAGATGACCAAACCATTTGATCTTTTGTTTCTCCTGAATTTGCTGCATGGTATTATTCCTACAGTCTGTGTGATCTGTTTCTAACTGTGTCTCGAATGTTCAAGTTAGCGTCTTTTCTCAGGCATCTCTCAGGCACTTATTTTACATTGGTTAGCCTTGGATAATGTCCAAGTCTGGTACTAGTAGCACAGTGTTGGTATGAATATGTTGTTTATTATCTGTTTACTGGCGCTGATACTTATGTTTGGATGTCCTAATAACGGTGTCGTTGGTGTAAAATTGTAGTTGTTCTCTGGCATCGCTTTTCTATTTCCGGATCTATTCTCCAGTACTCCGAGAATATTCTTCCAAGATATTTAAATTCTGTAATTTGCTCCAGGCAAGTACCATTCAGTCCTACATGCAGCGGACTAGGTATTCCGTTGACCTACATTACTTCAGTTTTAGTAGTATTCATTTTTATGTTATATCTTTTGCATGTTCAACTGAGCCTGTTAAAATGGTCTTGCAGTCTACTCCCCTCATTGTAAAACAGGCACTGATCGTCTGCAAATAGTAGCTCATTTAATGTGTATGTTGGCCTGATTGTTGCCCAGGAAGGGAGAAAGACAAAAAGGATAAACTAGGCTAACAATTAGATACAGATGGACCAATTGACAGTGATATAAAAGTACGAATACAAAAATCCAAGACGAGTTTACATTATACATGACAATTTCTAGAGCTAAAAACAAAAAATTACCAACTTAAAATATTAAGTTGTGATATCAAAGCTGTACCGTAGCATGGAGCTAGACTACGGAAAACTACAACAGTTGCTGATAAACTATAAATATTAAACTAACTGGTTCCTGCAGAACAGATGGGATGTAATGGTATGATAGTAACAGTAATGGGAGAGAACTTAATAAATTTTAGTGCATCAAGAGGAGATGAAAAGACGCTGGCTTTGGATTTGGCATAGGCTGAGAAACACAATTACAATATATCTAGAGTGTCATTGTGATGAAACCCCTAGGGTTAAAATAATACAGACAGCACACGAAGAGGGCAAATAGAAACTAAAGTTAAAAATAAAAATAGGGAGGTCATGAGGTGAGCTGCGTGTGATTGCAAGAGACTTTGTGTGACTGCTTGAGATACTTCACTCTCCTAAAAGACAAATGAAGAAATGACGAAGAAATAAACTTTATTCTTTTGTATAACTACATCTTAAGGTCTTTACCCGACTTTCAGTTACTTGTTCATTGTCAAGGTTTCTCTTTCGTATTTTAAAAATTGAGTGTGCATCGCATTACACAATTTTTTTTCTCTAACAAAGTAATGATTTTTCTAAAATTTAAATAAAAATATATTTTGACAAGTCCTTTCTTGAATTTGATTTCCATGGAACCACTGCCATCTTTGTTATTACTTCTCCTAGCTGAGAAAAACTACTCCATTGCTACAGTCCGCTTGAAAACCCACGCCTCCACAGTTTAATAAATATATCGAAAACGCTTTTACAGATCAACACACATTTGGTTAAGGTGGAATTAGATATCCCATGTCCCTATGACTCTGTATTTGTTATACTCGGACAGATGCTGCTGTTTTCTTGAAGAGGTAAATTTCTTTGATCTTTACATCACTGACAATTTACGTACCTCAAACAAATAGAATTTACAGTAACTGACACTTGTGAATATTCTCTGGAAATCAGTTGACATGTGTGTCGATGCCTGATAATTATGATAGCCTATCTGCACTCAGGGAAAACATCCGCAACTAATGCTGGAGATGAGAGTCTGTGAGTGAAAGGCTTATGAAGGGCGTGAAATTTTATGTTTTTTGAAAAGTTCGCCTTACTAATTTTTTCCCAACTTACTGTAAGCATCCTAATTGTTTACTTTGAATGGTGACTGTTTTTTTTTTCATGTACCGCAAATAAGGCAAAAATGAAAATTAGATATTTGTTCAAAATAAAAAATAAAAATATAAAAAAAAAAAATTCAAAAAAAAAAAAAAAAAAAAAAATTAAACCAAAAAAAAAAAAAAAAAAAAACAATTCACAAGGACATGATTATTACCAGGCTGCAGGCAGTATTTCATTTCCTAACACTTAACTTCTACTGAATTGCAGATTTTTGAAGTTAGACAGGAATTCTAAAACGGACTATAACTGGCATAGTCTACGATATTTAAATACTGTGTGTTCTAAGATTGATTACAGATTTAACAATTCGCCTGTGTATTGCTTCGCAGCGAGTTTAAACTTTGCTCACTGTCTGTTGGTAATATCCTATCATCAGCATATCTTTGATTATTATTAATTCTCTTGATGTTCAGTGAAAGCAATTCTCCAATTCTTCAAAAAATGGCTTGAGGAAATCACGCAGTCTCCTCTTTCATTATGTGTGGTGAAAAAATTTCACATATTTAGATATTGTCACTTTCTCCCAATATACGTTATTATCATCTGATATCCTTTTCATTCAATCCTGCTATCTTGAAGGCATCTTGTCTCATAGGCTGTCTGGTAATGTTAGATATTGTCAGATCTTTTCGTGCCGTCTGCAAACCAAACATGAAGTTACTCTCTAAATCTCTAAAAAGAATTTCAGCCAACACCGTTTTTTCTTTAGGAAAAAAAATTGTGTTTGTTTAAACAAGGGTTTTCTGACAAATCGTGAACTTAAAAACAAAATGGTCTAGCTGTTGCTATTAGACTGGCATGTTCATACATCAGGACTAGTTGAACACAAAAGCTGTTTCAAATCTCAGCTAATGGCTGTCAAGCTTTAATAATTAATGACTAAACTGGAAAGCACGTATCAAGAAGAAACAAAAACAAGACACGTAAGCGTATTTATTCCCAATTCAAATCATTAGTTTTTACATCACCTAAGGTACTATGTTCAGCGTTCGTAAATGAGCTGGTGTTTTTATCCACGAGCAAATATACTTGTGAAATTACAAAAAATCCCCGCGAATAATGCTTCAGAATTGCAGAAAACATACAAGTAAATAAGAAAGCTTTTCATCTTATATTTATTTCGGAGGCAGCGTGGGAGTCAACACAAGATGTCTATGCACTTCAAGTCTGTTTGTACTGTGCTCAGTTAGTGATGCCATTTTCATTTAGTTTTTGAATTAAAACCATGTAT